AACGGGCAAGAAAAAGTCGATCCTCTAGTCCCTTTACAAAATACGTATCTCATAAGAGTCATGGTATTATCCCCTTTATCGATTTCTTGCTATACATTTGTATGTGTTTCCCACAACTAGTTTGTCTTCAATAAATTATTTTATTCTTTCTTTGTTATAAATTTTAAATATTCTTTTGTCACATTAGTGTTTTTTTGCTAAATGTAATTGAGAGAATTCCCTAAATATGAGTAAAAACGTTTTGAAATTCCAAAATAGGACTATCATGTTTTTATTCCCTAAATAGGATTAAAATTCTTCCAAGTTTGGCATTACTAGGCTTTAAACATGGCAATTTTTCCAAACTTCGCAGATTACTCTTGTTCAGGGAATAAAAACAGAAATGCTAACGTGTAGACAACATTTGCTTGATTATTTTTTAGTTTCTAAAATCCTTATAATTTTGTCAACTTCTTTTTTTGTTATACTACTCTGTGAAACATTACCATTTTCCATTTTTAATGTGTTTTTTATTCTTGTTAATTTTCCCGTTTTCACACAAGTTCAACCACACAAATTTTGTTTTATTATTGTATATATGGGCCGGACGATTTTGGTGAAATTATGAAGGACGGATGAAGTATTTGTTTCAATTCGGACATCGATCCTAGTTTTTTCCAAACCGTCATGGTCGTGATTTAAATGGGACAAACTTAGGACAACACCGTTCCTAGTTGTGCCAACTCGCAGAAATATTAGAGTACCCCAATGCACAATTTTGATAAATGTCATTGTTTCATATAGTAGTGTCGACACTCTTATTATGAGAAAAAATAGTCATGGATGTTAGAGCGTCTAAAATGGTTACATGTAGGGACTTGCTTGCAATTTTGGAGCTACTAGCTCACCATTGGAGTGCATCTTTGCTTCTAGCTTGGGCAATCAAATTAGCCAAAACAAGCTAATTGCTAAAAAGGAGAGAAACTTGAATTAAAATGGTAACTACCAAATATATTTAATTTATTTGTAATTGATATATTATACGGAGTATTAATTAATTATGCAACGGTAAAGCTCCAGTACAATGAAAAGTGATTTCAATCTCTCATTGTTAACTATATATGCAGAATGTTTTTAAAATTGAGTATATAATTCTCCTACTCCCCCACTAATCTTATTGTTCATACGTAAAGTCTTCACATGGACGATTATGAAAACCCATACAACAAGTATTACTCCATTCTGGAAAATTCTTCAAGCACCGAAACTTGATCGATATGTAAATAATTCAAAATAAAAATTATTTTTATTATATTAATAAATCGATTCACTCAAAATGTATATTTTATAATTGATTGATTTGTGGGGCCTATTTAAGAGACAAGCTTTGTGGCTAACCATTGGACTACCACCTTGCTGGAAAATGGATTAGTTAGAAAAAATGACGTGGCAAGCAAAGCTACAATGTGTTTAGCTAACCATTGTAGATGCTCTTAGTATGAATGTTCTCGAATTAATTTTAAATCATCTCCGACCTTTTCTGCTCTAATCTATTTAATTTTAGTCAAACCTAATCTGATAAATATATAATATGTGATGTATGTTTATTTTACTATTGTATGTGTAATTCAAGTATGGTCTTTTTATATCTATTTAGTATGGTGTGGCCTGCAATTAAAAATAAGTGCAAGTGAAAATATCTTATGAAGGTAGAATAGAAGTAATTTATTCCTACATAAGAGAAAAACTAGTACTTCTCTTCTAGAGTTTCACATTAATGATATTCTTATGCGAAAAAAAAAATCTCATATTTGTTTGAAAAATTGAAAAAATAATTAAAACACTATGAAAATACATTCTTTATTTGTATGGAGTATTTCTCATAGTCCATACTATGAAAATATTTATATAAAATTTGTATAAAATGCCAGAAATATGGAGTGGAATAGCAGCAGTAAAAAAATTGTATGAAAGATACATACGATAATATATAGTCCGTATTATTGCATACAAATTTGTATGGGTGACATACTGACACAAAGGCAAATGATTACGGAGTACCATTTAAAAAAAGAAAGTTTAAGAGCCTATATTGCAAACATTTGCAAGTTTGCAACTCCCGTTTTTGTATCTCATCAATCATTTTTAATTTTATCATAAGTAACTTGTGATTTTACAATTTATTATAGGAAAAATTGATGTTAATAATCTAACATTTAACTGATCTTTTATAAACGGTCCATACTAATCATAAGCTAATAAAACCCGACCTTTACCTTCCATCTTCCGGTTTTGGTCCCAAACCTATTATCTGCTTAAACGAGTATCGAACTATCGATCTCTCTTTGACTTCCTCATTTCCACTTATTCTTTCTTATTCTTTCTATGAAGGAGAGAATGAGAAAAGGAAAATCATATGCCGGGCTCCCACCATATCAGCAACACTAAGAAATATAAACACATACTTGATACTCCGTAGCAAATGTACATAGAAACACAAAAAGATCCCAAAAACTCTTAACTGTCCTCTGCAATGCTCAAAAATATAAAAATCTGAAAATATAAAAATTTTATGCGCTCAATCATTGAATTTAAACCCTCCACAAAAAATCGAAATCGTAAATGGATATTTCAAGATTGGGGATTAAAAAAAAATTATTTTTGAAATTCGAAGAGCAAACCCTTTTCTATAAATCTCCTCCCCGTGTAGCTGTACAAAAATGTTACGAAAAAGCTTTTATATATTTCCCATTATTATGATTGTTAATATAATCTTTAAACGTCTGCCCTATTTAGGAAGTTGTCACAGTCTGTTCTAGGAATCTGGTGACCAAAGCTAATTCGAGAAGTTAGTTACATGATCCGAGTAAATTCATCTTTAATTTGGAGTGTTTATAACGGAATAGACTGCAAATCGGGTGAAAAGTATGTAACAGGTTAATTGCATTTGACTTGTTTAAGAGGTACAGGTTACCACGGTCCAATATTAGAAGACAAGTCATAAAGATTGGATTATTTTTGAATTAATCTAGAGTTTTTTAAAAGAATATTACTAAAATAAACTTATTTACATAAATATGACTATTCATTACTACAACGTAGTGTTGTGGTAACTTAGGTTCAAAACTTGAACATGAATTATCATGATTTCATTACTATTCCAGTAATTAATCATATTTTTGTAAATCATCTTTATCTTGGTCATATTTATGTAATTATTTCATTAATCTAAAGTGGGATTGTTTTAAGAAGACATGATAAAGGTGAGATTATTAGCATCGATTTTCCCTTTATTATATAATAATAAAAATAAATAACATTTCAATTACTTTTGAGATTCGATTAATTGAAATTGCTGAGAATGATCTTTTTTATTCTTACATACTACTCCGTACTCTTCATTTCTTTTTAATCGCAACATATATAATTTTACACTATTCACACTCTCTATTTTGACTACATTTTATTCATAAACACATTTTTTGGAATAATATTATTGATTTCGTCTCATTACTAATTTTCATTATTGATTAATAAATCTTATTACTAATAAAGAATTAAATATAATAAAGATGAAAACTTTGTGTTGACAAGCGTGGAAATGGGCATGTGCAACTAAAACAAAAATGAACATTCTCAACAAAAAAAACTAAGAAAGAATGAAATATAATTTTTTTCTTTGTTGTATTAATAACATATACTTTGAATATATATGGCAAAATTCACAAGAATAATCCACACTTTTATGGATTCTATAATAATAATCCCTACTGAGAATATCCATAAAAATAATTCGTACTAGCAATAATGTCCACAAGAATAAATCGGAGTGAATTCAAATTAATGGTTATTTAGTACTCTCAACCCCTACCTCCACTTTCCCCTTTACCACTCTTCGTTTCGATTAACTCATTTAAGTTCGAACCTAGAGAAAATCACATATGACGGAAATAGTGTTGAGATTAAACGCGTTTTAGTTTGAGTTTGCCCCGAGAAAAAGAATGAAAAAGAGAAAAGTGAGTAAGATTTGGGAATATTAAACAGGCATTAATTTCAATTCACCAAATATTATTCTTATTATGAACGCCATTGATAGTTCAAAATATTTTTGTGGATACTCTAAGTAGAGATTATTATTGTAGAATCAATGTAAAAACAAAAAATATATAGTTAATTACTTAATTCTACCAATTCGATTGTTTCAACTAGAATTTCACAAATATACAGAGAGTGATTTATAAATCTGCTACCTTGAAACCTGTGAAATTAATCCTTTGGTGAAGAAACCCACTAGTTGATGATCTAGGTCATGGTTTATTTATTTTGGCGCACAGAGTTTTTTAACGAGCGGGAGAACTTCCAAGACATATTCGAGATTCTTTTGCGGAATTTTTCTGCCCAGTTTTGGTGAGTCAGCATGTCAAGGATGCGGTTATTGGAAGACGGTCATGTTAACAACGTTTCAGTTACTTTTTACAGGTCAACATTACATGACTTTCTACCTATTGCATTGGAATAGGCATGGACCAGTACCGGGTCGGTCCAAACCGGGACAAAATTTCTTGGGGTAAGGCCCGGGACCGGCCCAGGATTTTACCGGGACCGGGTCGGGCCGGTTCTTATAATTTTTTTTAGCTTTTCTTATTTATCCCCACCCCCCAAACCCCGCCAAAACACCCAGCCCCCCTACCATAGGCCCAAACCCAAAAAATCAAAAAAATAATAAAAAGGCCCGGACCGGCCGGTCCCCATTTTCCTGCACTCAAAGCCCGTCCTGAAAACCCCCCTCACATGGCCGGTTGACCTGGCCCCGGTTGGCGGGTCGGGCCGATACTACACAGTTCGGGCCGGGCCGGTCAACCCAGGCCCGGTCCATCCCTACATTGGTGAGCAAAATGTTATGAGATATGTTAACATTGTTGAGCCGACAGTTTTTATGAATGTCAAACTAACTCTAAATACATAGCGTAAAATGAGGTCATTGGTCATGCTATTTTAGTGTTACAGTAGTGACCCAAAACGGTGGCAAAACTAACCAATTTCATAAACTTCTGGATATTAAAAAATCACAAATTAAAAGATGGTTACTATTTAAACAAACATTACATATTGGCATATTGCAATCATACCGATGCAGAAAAGCTGTGAATTGCAAAGTTGGAACAGCAAATTCTATCCTGAACCTTTAATTCAACATATTATACACAATTGAAAGCTAGAATAATATCCAGAATGAAGCAGGTTTCTTTATTACTAAAACCAACTGCAATGCTCTTTTAGTTGGATTACTGTTCTTTCTTCACGAAGAAGAGATTGTGTTTCCAAATTCTTCTGTGTTCCCATGTTTGCCTCCTACACGGATGGCTACACTATAGCATACTAATTTTCCGTGTCAGCTGTATAATTACGAATGCACGTAGGAAAGAAGGATAGGCTTCCGATCTCATCCAGCCATTTGTCACATGGGAGTTACGTCTCCGCTCTCCAAGCTACCCCCTCGTCTCTTCTTCCCTTCGCCGTGTCTTGACCTTCTCGGCGCCTCATCCTCGCTCTCGCTCTCATCGTTTCTGTGGCTATTCTGGTGATGATAATAAGGAACTTTTTCTTCAGCCCCCGCGCCTGAACTTCCCATCTCTTGAGCCTTACCTTGATCAGGCGGGCCTGAACCAAACCTCTCATTTCTATCACTACTACTTGGCGCTTTTTGTTCTCTTCTACCGCGATAGGAGTTCTGAAGGGCATGTGATGGGGGTGGAGGGACGAACGGTGAACCCATCCCGCCCGGGTGTCCTCTAGGTGGGCCTAAAAATGGCCCTCTTCCTTGGCCCATCATCGGCCCAAATGCGCCCCCGGGTGGTCGGTTATGGAACATCAGATCGCCAGAGAATCTCGGGCCGTACGGGCCGAAAGGACGTTGGCCCATGCCGAATAAGTCCATGGGAAAGCCATCAGGAGTCATTCCAGGATAAGGAAACCCGTCACCCATCATCGTCGGGGGAAACCCCCTCATCCCATGGAGGGGAGGCCAGGGCCCACGTCCTAAAGGCATGATTGGAGGCCATGGCATTCCCCTGCCCCTTCCTCTGCTTATGGCTGCTGGTGCAAAAGCTGCTTGGCCACCAAAGCTCTCATCCTCTTCCTCGCTCTCTTCTTCTTCATCCTCTTCTTCTTCATTCTCTTCAAACGGTACAATATCTGGGTTCTCATTCCCACTCTCAAAGTCCATACCCTTTGCCTTCTCCTCTTCTCGTTTTGATTCTGCTGCGAGTGAGATTGCCTGAAAAAAGGAATAGAAGGAACGGAATGAATCATCTAGAAGACCCCAACAACATCCAAGCGTTAATCCCAAAAGATTTTGGGGTCGGCAATCATTTGAAGAGCTAAATGGGGAAAAATAATTTAGCTACAAAACACTGAGTGTTACTCCGTATTTGATAATACTGTCTATCACATAACAGTAGATGCTCTTGTTGGGAAAAGCTTTGTCTTCATAGATAATAAGAGCCTGATTTAGTATACCATTCTATTGGCTTATTACTCTTATCCAGTTATCCATAAAACTATTCACCTAGCAAGCTAGCACTAACTTATTTCACTGTGTTGGCACTTGGCAATGACTGAAATTTAAGAAAAAGACACTTCTACTTCACTTATAGATGTTATTTTCTATATATTTCATCATTTCATTTTCATTTACCCCAGTGCCGCAAAGGCTCCCACCTACGGTGGGGTAAGGGGGGTCGGATGTACGCAATCTTACCCCTGTACTAAAGCACAGAGAGACTGTTTCCGGCTGACCCATAGTGAAAATCGCGTCCAAAATTACATGGACTGACTGTTTAGTGAGCCATTTTGCTTTATTCAATCATATTCTCAAGCCAAAAAATAATGAATCTTTGGCTCTATATATTTAAGAAATAAAATTTAAAATAATTTAACAGATTTATCCAACTGAGCCATTTTCTTTGCATGTCCAGGAAATTTCACAAATCCAACCACTGCCAGCAAATTCAGCCATTTTAGAAATTAACAATGAAAAAAGCAACAAAAGTTTTTATAACAAAAGACATGGGGAAACCAGACTTCAAGAACTCAAAATTACTGACCAGCTCAAAATATAAGAGAGCAAAAGGCAAACCAGAAAAGACAGTTCTGGTAAATCAATAGCATAGTTATCAACACATTTTGGATGGCAGAAAAACATACTCCCTCCGTCCCAAAATGATGGTCCTGTATTTCCTTAGGGGGGCGGAGGGAGTACCATATAAAATAGTAACTTATAAAACAGAAAATGTATATTTGTATTAAATTTTAGGATATATATTTATATTAGAATTTTACTAATTACTCCGTATATATTACTATTAATTGATTAATTTAATTGTATGTATGTATGTATGTATGTATGAATGCATGCGTGCATGAATGCGTGTATGTGTACATATAACATTTTACATATAAAACTACAAAATATCAAATAAAATTAAAGGAAAAAAAGAACAGATCATAAAAATATAAATATAAAACTGAAACACTACAAATATAATACATTAGTTACAAATTATAAATGTAAAATACATTAAAAAAAAATAAGGATACAATGTATAAAATACGTAGTATTTTATTTTATACAAAGTACATACATAAAAAATAAAATGTATGGTCGTCTATATTTTATATTTTTGGCTTGTATTTTGTTTTATATTTATACTTTCTGTTTTCTATTTGAAATATTTTGCAATTTTAAAACTTTTTTAAAGTTGAGGGGGTGAAATGCATGGTTAGTACCTTACCTGTGACGTGGTGGGCAACTGGAACATTACCTGGGATCTTTTTATTGAGTTTAGGGTGTCAGTTTGAGCATTTTTAGTTCAGGGGCTGATTTGAGCATTTGTAAACGGTACAAAGGGCCTATTTGACCCTTAATTCTAAAACAGAATGTGTCGTCATTTGGGGTAAACACACAATATAAAGGGAAGTGTCCAGATTATGTCTGGAAGAAAAAAGAGAAATTTCATACCATAAGCTCACTGTCTGGCTCAAGATACAACAGGGAAGCCAACTGCTCCCCAACAGAGGCCTCTAGTTCTTGACAATCTCTGCTAATCTGCAATAAGAAGAAGAAAACTTATGTCCGCCAACAAATTGATGGTTCACAAAAATCAGAGTTACTGAGGAGTGTCCCAAGGAGCATATAGATCTGAAAGAAACTGATAGCAGCACATTATCAAGCTCAAAATTGGAATTAGCAAATCCTATGGTAGTATCTACATCATGACATGAAAAAAGATCATAAAAAATTATTTATGACCAGTTCAATTTGTGGGAAACCAGCCGCAGCTGTTTATGAGTAATCTAAGGTGTTTATTAAGAAAACATGTTTGGAATGATAGATACAACAACAACAACCAAGCCTTAGTCCCAAAAGATATTGGGGTCGGCTAACATGCATCGATACATGATATCACCACCAAAAGAAAAGAAAGAAAATAAAGATAAAAAAGATAAGCTATTATAAAAAAGATGATATAAAAAGAGATAAATATACCAAGAAATGATAAAATAAAAAGGATAAAAATAATGTTTATATATAAGGATAAAAGGATAAAAAACAAGAAAAAAAAGATGAGGGGAAAAGATAATACGAGATCACTCCTCCACACGAATACTCTCCCTCCACTTTGCTCTCTCCAAAGTCATACTCTCATCCAACCCAAGAAGAAGCATATCACTTCGGACTCCCCTAACCCACGTATGTTTGGGCCTTTCTCTCCCTCTCTTCTCTGCCTCTTCTCCACACATCTCAACTCGTCTGACGGGTGCATCACTCGGTCTTCTACGCACATGACCAAATCACCGTAGGCGCGCCACCCGCATCTTGTCTTCAATAGGTGCTACTCCCACCCTTTGTCTGATTGTCTCATTTCTCACGTGGTCCTTCCTAGTATGCCCACACATCCAACACAGCATGTGTATCTCTGCCACACTCATCTTTTGAATGTGACATTGTTTTATCGTCCAACACTCTACACCATACAGTAATGCAAGCCTAATTGTTGTCCTAAATTTACCGTTTGGGTCCTTTGGGATGATAGATAACAACCAAAAATGACTCGTTCCAACGACAAAGTCCCATTAGAGTAGTTATCATTTTATAGTTCATGATTGATTTTTTGGACCAATTAGCGTAGTTATAATTTAATAGTTTATGATTGATTTTTAAGCTATATTACACCTATTTCGCCATGTACATGTGAACTTTTCATTGCATTCAGACAAAATTAATCATTTCCAAACCACTTTTCAACAAACTCTACTCTAATAAAACCTTATTTTGGTTATAAACGTACATTCAAATTACCTACTAATTCGAATAACCTTATGATGATGTTTTTGATGACTTGACAAGTAATCACTCACATTTGTACAATGTTCTTTTATACTTTTTCTGAAGGATTTTTTCTGTTCTATTTCTTAACCTCTTTAACCCCTCAGTTACTACATATGTACAATGAGAAGTTACACCTTAGGTAAAGAATGACCACCATTACTCCCCACCTATACAAAGTTATTGACCATGGGTCCAGGTAGCACTATTCATCATGGACAACACTAGCTTTGGATTGGCTATGCAACGAATAGGTGGCATACCTGATACCTCCTATTACTTTTTAGTGCTGGATGGAGTCTGTGCAAAGGGTGGAGTTTTGACAATTGACTGACTTTGTTAGCCAGGGAAAGAGTAAGAACCATTAAGGGAAAATTTTAAAGTTCTTTTATTGTGAACTCTTGCACCAATAGATGTGTTTTTGCATGTTGAGGTGACAACATAAAAGTAACATTTCAGAAGAGACATTGTTTTGTATCTTCATAGGTAAGTTTTTAAAGGCATTGTCTATCTTGTTGGTCTCGGATATCCTTGACAAAGAAATGACAATAAGCTCCATAGGCCCATACATTTTTATTATTCCAAATGGGAAATTATTATATGCTTTGATATTCAATGCTATGTGGAAATGAACATACCATAGCATGTCAAGTAAAATGTTGGTCATTCATGGTTGGAGTTTTGTACCTTCACTGGTAAGTTCTCATTGAATGGGTTTCTCAGATGACGGGTTTTCTGGAAGGACAATTCGCATAGCTGCATAAAGAAATTGAAGTAGTACACATGTAGAAGTTAAATATATTGAGAAGCAAAGAACATGTTCAAACAAGAAAACCAAGTAGTTAAATCGCTACTCGGTAGCAACTTGGTCAAGGGCTGAGTAGCAAATATGACCGAGTACTCGGATTTACTATAAACCCGGGTTTTATAGTAATATATTCATCTTAAAATTCTTAGATATGAATAAAATAATAATAAATCTAATGATGAAGTAGGAAAAGTCATAAACATTCTAAGTTTCCAAGAAAATCAATCATCTAATAATTTGGTCCAATATTAATCAATAATTAAAAAGTTTCAGATTTAACCATAAAAATTAACAGTGGCTGAGTAACTTGCCTAGTCAAATATTTTGCCGCGTTAAGAAACTCGCTGAGTCAAATATTTCCCTGAGTTAAGAAACTCGCCGAGTACTTGGAAAAACAGGACAGGCCGAGTCAGACAGCTAAACGGAACGCCCACCGGCCCTACCCCCTGAGTTGCGAGTACTCGCCGCGTACTCACTGATTATACTCCGTATAATACAGCAAGAAAATACAAGGTACCACAGACATATAGTGAGGTGCACTTATGGAGCATGCAACTATAAATTAGCAATCCATCCAAATTAACAGAAAATGGACAAGCTCAACAAAAAGATACATCAAACGAATGCACATTCAAAATGAAAAAATAAAAAATCTGACCCACAAATAAAATGAATAAGCATTATAGCCCCAAGTCAATTTTATCCACTCCCATCACTCTTGACACAGTATCCAACTTTTGAGCCAAATACCCTTCTCACTTCTCAGCTTGCATCCTCAACCAGTCAACCCTTTTCCCATTCAATCCCAATACAATAAAGATAACAAAAGAAAACATGATTTCTCTATCAAAAAATAAAACCAACACATAAAATTATGATGTCACAACTTAAAGCCAATAAAATTATACAAGAATGTGTCATGATATATTTTTGGTCATGAAGAATGTGAGAATGGCATGGCTACCAGCATACATAAATAAAGATATAAAGGTCTAAAAAATAACTAGTGTAGAAGATCAAGACAAATTAAAAACAAGTAGATGAAAAAGTGGTGCCTAGAGACCAGCAAGTATCAGCTTCCATTAGCCACTTGGCTATGTGAAAACAGAAGTAATACCTTTAACCATTTAAGAGAAAAGTTGCGTCCATAATGTGCAGTTCCATGCTCATGCTTCCAATTTCCTCCTCTTGCAGCACCACCAATTCTAGATGTCATCTTTGCACAACCCTATTTTGCAGAAAATAAGTATTAATCATGTCAAGGAGCTCACCAAATTCTTATTCCTTAAACAAATCACAGTTTGGATAAGCATCATAACTTAGAAAGAAATTTTCAACCCCAACCACAGAACAGTAAGTCATTGATATTCGTCTTTCGAAATCTTAAATTTAAAAGAAATTTTCAGTTTCATTATTTGAAATGGACAAACAGGGTAATGAACATCCTGACTACCTGAAAGTGTCTAGTCCGATTCACTGAAAAGATCAAAATGACATTTTCCACAGAATCAAATGCTTCATTTAGTTTAGCCTCATTGCTTCTTTGAGTTGCCCATACTCCTTGTTGTACTGACAACTCCAGATTCTCACGATTGCAACTTTTGACTATAAAGTACCTAATTTAATTTAGTGACATCAAAAAAGCAATAAGTAACAAGTACTAAGAATAGGATAAGTAATCAATAGTTGTGTTTCTTCTTGCTATGAAGGGTCGAACTAAATGGAAAGGGGTCAAAACCAAAAGTAAACATGAGGATAGGAATGATCAAGCATTAAAAAAGGAGGAAATAGGTATTAGAAACGACCTCTTCCAATACAGTGGCCAGAATACCAAGTAAAAAGGAAGATAAATGAACAGGAAGTATGTGAAGGCACCAACCGTAACTCTTTCATCATTACTTGTTTATAAGGACAAAAACATTGTCAAAAACACTAAGGCACCAGTGCAAAAGATCCAATCACTAGCAGGACCTTGGAATGAAGATGGAATTATTCATGCAACATTACCTCTAGAAAGAGAGATGGTTTTCAAGCATTCAAACCATGATAGCAGCAGGTGAGCACTTGGTCACTAGACCAAGTTCAAGTTCTAAATATTACACTAAAACAAGATGTAAGAAAACAAGAGAAAATCTCTCTTGAAGAAAACATAAAATGTTAACAAAATAACATACCAGTGTTAAAGCTCCCTCACAGGGAGTCACCGTTCCCTTTCTCTTTCAAGAAGGTGGATTGGACTAGTACAGAATCGTACTACGTAATAAATACTCCCTCTGTCCCTAAATTTACTTCCATTTCGCTTTTCGAGAGTCAACTTAAATCACTCTTAAACTCTTACTTTTTGTATCAAAACTTTATGAAAATTGATATTTTTGTGCAGGCTTTGTAGCGGGTTTAATGTAGTTTCTGAATATGTAAATTTTATTTACTAAAAATAATCCGAGTTTTCACAGGGATCATTTAACTTTATCGTCGGTCAACCTTCGTAATCCGCAATCGGAAGAACATTCAGGGACGGAGGGAGTATAAGATATACACACATACCATGCTGCTAAACATCAGTACATAAAAGAAAAGAAGGGACCTTGTTTTGACACTAAGGGGTGTTTGGCTAAATGTTTTGGTATTGTTAAGCAAAACAGTATTAAAGTAAAATGCAAATTGCAAATGCATTAAATTCTTGGAAGTGAACTTTGACAAACTCAAAACCCTCACAAAATGCTAAAATTACGCAGCTATAAATTGTAGCTTCTTCCTTTGAGTACCTTTTTATTTTCGGACAAAAATGCCATCAAACAATCTTTTCTTTTCTTTTCAATAATTTTGCACAAAACAAATCTGAGTCCCTTATTTTCAAAAAATTTAAGATACGAAGAACTGTTAACCAAACAGCTATTCAAACACTCATTCAGAATAGTGCTTAAATCTGCAACATTGTCAAACAAAAAAAAGGAGTAATTTGAGTTTGCACCCCATATTATTATCTAAATTGGACTTTGCACCCCGTTTTTAAAAATCTTTTTTTTGCACCCCAACCCCGTATGAAAAGACAAAAATGCCCTCAATCAGGAATATGTTGAAGGTCAACAAAATTGTTAATGGAGGGACATTTTTGTCTTTTCATATGGGGTTGGGGTGCAAAAACAAAGAGTTTTAAAAACGGGGTGCAAAGTCCAATTTAGACAATACTTTGGGGTGCAAACTCAAATTACCCCCAAAAAAAAACATTTTAAAAGCACAGCACTCTAAAACTATAAAATGTGTTTTGAAACTGCTTACCCAAGTACCCTCGTAAATAGATAAGTGCAAAAATCATGTGTGATCCTGAATCAAAGAAGTCGAAACCCTTTTTCCAAAAAAACTAGCTTCTCCTATGGTAAATCTAATCAATACAGCTAACCATTTCAATTAAAACACAAAATAAAACTATTAAACTACAAACACAATCTCCTCATTCCAAAACAAAAACAACATAGTTGTATCATACAAAAAAGGAGTTTTATTTGCTAAGGAACTGAAAATTGGTGAGCAACTAATCAAGGACTTGGAAGACAGTAACTGCCAATTAGGGCCTGAATTATTGGAACTATTCAGAACTAAGAAAACATTAATATTAGATCTTTTTTGTTTGAATTGTTTTTGTTAATTTTAAATCAAATTTCTTTCACATATTATATACTCCCTCCATTTTGTAATAGTGTTCCCAGTTCCTTTTATTTGCTGTTCCATATCAGTGTGCCCATTTCCTCTTTTGAAACAGGTCCACCGATTATATTATTTCCCATTACTTTTACCATTTCTCCTTTCTATACCCCACCCACCAGTCCACCACAACTACTATTGAACTCTTGCCTGACTTTTTTAAACTCGCTCTTCTCTATACCCCATCCACCACATCTACTCTTAAACTGTGTGCCATACAAGTGTGAAATTCATATGAAAGAGGGGGGATTAATTTGAAGAAAGAGGTTATTACAAATTATTAAAGATCCAGAATTGATGATTTCTTAAGACATAGAGATTGATAGGCTTAATCACTCAGATCCTAAATTGACAGTTTTCACCTTTCAGGTCCTGAATAGGTAGATAACCTGTCTTTCGGATCCCGAATCAATAAAACTCCAACAATAAAAACTTTCCTTCTTAAACTATAAAATACTATAGTATATTCATATAGAACCTGGTAGAATTGCCAGTTCAATATATACCATATTATTACACATAATTGAAAAGGGTATAGTGGACACAAATATTGAGCCAGAGTTTGCTATGATTGTTTGAAGAACTAATTACAGCTGATGAATAAATGAACCAGGTTCAGGATTTAAGTACATTACAAATCATATATCCTAATTAAAGATCTTGAAACTCTGAACACACCTAGATGTTCCTTGAGGTAAGGGTACAGCACTTCTGCTGGTTTGATTTTGCTGTCCATCAGAAAGTGTTTGATTCTGAGTGCTCTGCTGCACCTGTTGAGCTTGTTGATTCAGCTGTTGTTGGGGAAATGGGGTTTCTGCCATTGAACTTCTAATGGCTTGACTAGCACCATTAGGACCAAGCACACTCTGAGATTTTTCTGATTGTTGTACAAAATTTGAATTCCTGTTTTGGGAAAATCTGTTTGGGTGACCAAAGTTATAGGATACTAAATGTTGAATTTTCTGAAGAACTTCCTCCACTGGAGGTGGGGGTCCAGGAAGCTTGGCATGCCTATACCGGCAATCAGGACCATTTGGACAAAATCCCAGTTTGTACCTGAATATATGATTACCATCCATCATCAGAAACTAAAAATAATAATGCAATACTATGAAAGCATTGAGACATATTAGTGTAGCTATTGCTATGAGGAGAATACTAACTACAATGCTAGACTGCTAGTGTTAACAAGCTTTCAGAAAGAATCTGCTTTCTTTAAAACAAGATGAAAGTTATACCAGTGACTCCACTAAGTTCTTTAATTGGCATCAACTGTGAATGAAAACAGTTGTTGATGGTGAAAAGATGGCAATTCACAAATATGTAAGAGCGCAATTTATTAGGTGCAAGTAGTCGTTTCCAAGGAGCAAAGAAAATGCATTTCAACTTCAGACAAAATTAATTAAAAATATCATTTAGGAATCTCCAATTACTTGATTCATTCTATTATGGCACTATCAATTCATAATAGGGTAATATTTCAATAACAGTATAGCAGTGATGCAGCATATATATGACAAATTCACTACATAAGGATCTTTCTTTGAAAGAAACAAAAACAATATGCAAAATTAAATTTCTTAAATGGAAAGCGAATCTCACATGTTGCATTCCTTTATGTCTTCATTAGTATGTTTATAAACACAGTCCTGTTCGCGACACTCCCCATAGTGCCGGAAGAAGCGGCATATGGGCATCCGGGACTTGTCATATTGATGCAGGAAGCCACAGGCATCGCCTTTCATGCAGAGAGACCGCAGCCAGTGCCGGCATACAGTCTGGCGGAAGCTCCGCCGGTTGCCACCCGGACCGAATTCCGGTACAGCGGACGGGGGTGCTGAGGGGACAGTTGAATGGTTACTGGAGTTTAGGCCGGCAGTAGCTGCATTCTGGTCCGTTGACTGGATTACGGGTATGGAAGCAGTAGGGTGAACAGGACCATTATCCAGACCTCCCTCGAAGTCGAAGCTTAGACCTCCTTCCCCATCGTCCATTAGATGCTTTTGCTGTTCGACTGTTTCTTCTCCCTCTCAGAAAATTGGGGGTTCGGTGCTCGTCTCTTCCGTGTAGAAGAAAATCAGAAATTGGGGGAGATCCTTATAAATTGAATAAGTACACATAATCAACAAAAATGCGTACTTTAAAAGTCATTTTTGCATAATCAATTACGTACTTGAGCTTTTCTATTGTGCAAATGTGTGTACTTTTTTTTATCATACAAATGTGTCTACTTTAAAAAGTCATTTTTTAAATAATTTTAGAAAAAATAATTAATAGTTATTGTTTTTTTATCGTCAAAGCGAAAAACTTCATTAAATCAATAAATTGTTAGTCATATGTAGGGGTGGTCAAAAATATCGGAAAATCGGTATACCGCACTTACCGTACCGAAAAATACCGGAAAATACCGAAATATTGATATACCGTCATTTTCGGTACGGTGATACCGTACCGATCTATTTCGGTACGATAACGGTAAATGTTTTCAAATACCGCGGTATACCGGTATAATACCGTACCGACTCCCTACTCAACAATTGCTTTTAATTCTAATAAATTCTAAAAATATATTACGATTTTGAAGCTCAAAATTAATACTTAAGTTGGTTACAAATACAAAAATACAAAAATAAAGGCCCAATTTCTCAAACCCACTATAATCTTATAGGCTTCTACTACGCTAACCTTAATGACTACTGAGTAATGTACAAATGTTAAGAAACAAGTCCATCTAGTTCCAAGAGCTTGCAAGTCATGATAGTTGGGCCGCTAAGTAGCTAATGAGTGAAGAGCGATACACTTATGTGACAAATGTATCTACATAGGGATTCCGCGAGTCGAGGAACACAACTCTGTCCGAAAGTCTTATTCAATTTTTAAAAATATATAAAAATGACTAAATACACAATATCATATTAGGAATAAATGATTTTATATCCATGTTGTTTGAATAGTTTTATTTATTTTTGTTAGAGATCACTATTGATTTAATTATATCTATATTGTTCAAGTTATTTTAGGAGAATGTGTTACTTTTTAATACGTGGCATGTTGAACTGCTTAAATAAACTAATAATAATTATTGTTCAATATTGAATTGACATCAATAGATTATTAATTGTATTTTGTAACATTTTAATAATAGATTTAATATGTCGCTAGTAATAACGATTTAATATATTTCGTTAGTCTATGATAATTTTTTGTATTGGGAGACATGCAAGGTAATTTACCGATACCGTACCGTTACCGAACCGAAACTTCGGTATACCGAAATGCGGTATACCGAAACTTCGGTAAGGTAAAGGTATGCAAATTTTGCATACCGAAATTTTTGGTACGGCAAAGGTATGAGAAAAAATATAAGGTATACCGTACCGAACCACCCCTAGTCATATGGTTAGTAATACAACCCGGAGCAAAACTATAATCAATTGACCGATCTGAGATATTCACATGTGACTTAGCTAGATCATGAGCCACATAATTCGCAGACTTTTTACAAAAAGAAATTTTGAGGTTACTCTTTGTTACTAGTAAATTACGGATATCATCAATAATAAGATGTGCATATGAAGATCATTCGTTCTTCTTCAAGCTCTACACCACCGTGAGAGCATCTGTCTCAATCTCCCCCTGCTGCCATCCTTCCTCACTAGCTCCCATAATGGCATCTCGAACCCTCATTGCTTCTGTTTCCTCGGCTGATCACCCCGCTCTACGTCCACAGCCGCGGGCCTTCACAAAAGAGCCACTCTCGTCTCTAGCCACCCACCCCCAGGCTCTAGTTCCATAAGACCTTTTACCTCTCGTCGGTCGCTTCCATCTCACCATGTCAGCATCCCTCGTCCTTTCTTCCTTGTTCCCGGTTTCTTCATGCACATCATGCCATGCTGCCAACATACTATCTGCCACCTTAAAAACGGTGGATGCCTCCTCAATTTGATCCTTTCAGACCGCTCCATTCCTCCTATTCAAATACTCCATAAAATAGCAATAAATTTCCCACAAAAAAATTCATTCGGTAGCTCGATGTTCCTCTTTACCCACTGCATGACCGATACCCCATGTTCGTCGATCTGCACCCCAGCATGCTGCCTAACAGCCGCCACTTTTGGGCATATGTGCAGCGCATGATCGTCGTTCTCTTCCGACGAGCCGGATAACTTACAGTCCCCCACAATACTCACTCAGTCACTCCTCTCCTCTTCAAATTATCCATTGTGGTCAGCGTACTATCAATAACTTGTCATGCAAAATATTTAAACTTTGGTGGCACCTTCAAATCCCATAATAATTTCCAGCCTTGCCAAACCACCCGCTGCAGGTCTCCCATCAACTATAACAACTTTTAACTCAGAAGATTTTGTTCCTCTCCCCCATCACCAGTAAATGTCCCTCCGATCTTGCAAGCTAATCGGAATACTCAGGATTTTATCTCTATCAGCCTGATTAAATAGTCTGATAATCCTCTCGTAGTGCCACTTCTTTCCCATGCCATCCCGCAAACCCGCCACATTCATATCTCTTATCCCAGCCAGTTTGGCAGAAGTGATCCTCCCTAACCCCGCTCCTGGTAGCCATGCATCCGCCCAGACTTGAACATCAATACCGTTACCAACTCTTCTTCTAACATTATTTTTAATGACCTCTTGTGTCTCGAAAATACTCCTCCAGATAAAGAAGGGGTTATTCCCCGATTTTGCCTCTAGAAAATTTGAATAGGGAAAATACCTGGCCTGAAGAACACGTCCCATGAGGCTCCCTGTTTTGGTCATAAGCCTCCATCCCTGTTTAGCTAGCATAGCCAGATTAAATTTCCTTAACCTTCTAAAGCCTAATAATCCCCTGCTTCTTTTAGCTTGCACATAGCTTCTCACTTTCTCCATCTCAGCCCTTTCTGAGACTGTTCATCAAATTTTCCACCTCATCACATAAATCCTTAGGCAGCAAAAACACATTCATAGCATAAGTTGGCATAGCCTGGATCACATTCCTCAATAAAACTGCTTGTCCAACCCGAGATAAAAATCAGTTATTCCAATTTTTAATACGGTTAAAAATGCGGTCCCTCAGGTATCCAAACTAGCCCTGGTAATCCCAAATAGTGGCTTTGACCGCCCTCTCTCGGAATCCCCAACTAATGGCTACAAAAATCTTTAAACTCTTCCCCCATGTTTTGGCTGAACGCTAAAGTGGATTTATTGAAATTATCCATCTGTCCCGAGAGCGCCTCATAATTTAATAAAATGTGTCTAATAGTCGCACATTCACTGACAGAAGCTTTAAAGAATAAAAAGTTGTCATCCGCGAAAAGCAAGTGAGAAACCCGCAGTGCTCCCCTACAAACCGCCACTCCATGAATCTCTCCTTTGCTTTCGGCCCTCCTCAACATAGCACTCAGATCCGCTGCCACCAAAATAAATAAATATGGGGATAAAGGGTCTCTGATCCCTATCTCAATCCTCTTTTTGGTATAATAATAGGTCCCAAAAAATCTTTATCAAACTGAATATAGTAATTGACCGTAGTGATGCAGAGCATGACGATCTCAACCCACAACTGATATAAACCCATGCGGACCATGATTTTCCTGAGAAAATCCCACTTAACTCTCGATCATAGGCCTTGCTCATATCAAGTTTCAGAGCCACATACCCATCCTTCCATGAGTTCTTCTGCTTTAAAAAATGACGAGTTTCAAAAGCTACAATAATATTATTCACTATCGATCTTCCCGGGATAAAGGCGTTTCGATTTTCCCCAACCAGACCTCTCAACATGCCTTTCAGTCTATTGGCAATGGTTTTAGAGAAAATTTTATAAATCACATTGCACAGAGCAACCGGCCTCCAATCCCCTATACTCTCAGGTTTATCCTTCTTAGGAATTAAAATAATATTAGTCACGTTTAATTCGCTATGAAGTATACTTGTTTCGAAAATACTGCCACATAGTCGTGTTACCTCCGGGCCCACCACGTCCCAGAACTTCTGAAAAAAGCCGGATTCATGTTGTCAGATCTTGGAGCCTTCTCTGGATGCATATCAAAAACAGCTGCTTTCACCTCTTCTAGCCTAATCGCTCTCATCAAAGTCATATTCTGAATATCAGTCACCTGTTGCACACTCCCTAGGTCCCCCAAAGTAACCTCCTCAGCATTACTCTGAAACAAATTCACAAAGCAATCTCTTATTATCTCTTCAATTTTACCCCGATCTACGACCCAAGTACCATCCGTCTCCCTGAGCCCCATCAGTTTATTTTTTCTCTGCCTCTGCTTAACCGCATTACGAAAGAAACGAGAGTTAATGTCCCCTTCATTCAGCCAGAATTCTTTTGCTCTCTGGCTCCTGTACAGATTCTCTTTTTCCATCAATGTTTGAATAACTGATTTTATTCTGGCAAACTCTGCCAAGCTGCCTGTGTCCTCTCTCCCCCTTAGTCATGTCAATCTTTTCTTACAAACCGTAATCTGGTGTCTAAATCCCTTTGGCCGTCGGTTATCCCACCAGAGTAGCTCCTTCCCACAGAAAATTATCCTTTCGCTAACAGTAAGTTGTGACCCGTCATCCCAACTACTTGTTACCACTACTCGACATTTGTCTTCTTTCAACAACAAATTTTCAAATCAGAATCTTATTGGCCTTCGGTCGTGAACTGTTGGATTAAATTTAATACATAGCGCCATATGATCATTGACCGGAGCCTCAATAGAAGATGTTTGCGCTGCCATAAAATTATTCCACCAGTCATCATTTACCAATATACGGTCCAATTTTTCTTCAACCCAAAAATTGATACCCTTGCCTCTCTCCCATGTCCACTGGTACCCTTCGAGCGGGAAATCTCTCAGGCCACTTCCTGTAACAGCATCTCAAAAACTGTGGGTTCTCCATGGGGGGATGTATAATTCTCCCCTTCTTTCTCAATCATACAAAATATCATTAAAATCTCCAATTATCATCCACGGTGGAGTATTATTTTCCGCCAAATCCCTTAGCATAGCCCACGCTTCTCTTCTTCATCTTGTTTCCGGGAACGCATAATAGCACGTTAGTCGTCAGGCTGGATCTCCCTCTACCGATTTGACTAGACAGTCAATATAGTTCGGATGAATATTTGTGATTTG